CAGAGATGATTACTAGAGAAGAAGAATCTGACGGAGGCGATTAAAGAATGGCAAGTGGCGGAAATGGTGAGGCGATTGGCAGGCGGCGAAGATTGCGATGGGGTTGGCAGCGGGCGAAGATGCGGAGACGAGCGATGGGGGGAGAGCAGGTCACATGTGCTTCGCTGGGAAATACTGGACGTGGAGCTGCAGGGGTATTTCAGCCTTTTAAAATCTTTTAGGTCTTATTTATGTCCGTATAAGTTAGTACTCCTAATTTTGTACATCTATAAGCTGAGGGTATTATTTTAGTCATTCTTTTAACTAATTAACCTACCACTAATGTTTCAATTCGAAGTTTCGAACCATGAAATGGAAAATCAGACCGTATCGTTATTAAATATTATATTACTCTCTCCGTCTTGTTAAAATTGTCTCATCTTTTCTTTTTGGTCTGTCCCACTAAAATTGTCTCATACCAAATTTCATAAGTTTTGTGTGATTCCATATCATTCTTAATTTAGTCATATGTGTGTAAATAAGTTTTATTTTAATGATATTTTTTGGGGAAAAAAACTGTAATATATATATATATATATATATATATATATATAATTAAAAATTATATTCCCTCCTTATTTTAATGTTTGTTACACTTTCTCTTTTTGATAAGTTTTTCCTTTAAAAATACTGAATTAATTTTACTATATTTACTTTTTATCTTCCCTTTCATACTTTTCTACCATCTCTCCTGCTTTTCTAAACTATTCATTATTCCTACTATTTCACTCGTAATAAATGTGTCAACACCTATTGCAGTAAACAAAAAAATACGCATGAAGTATCAAATCAATTTAGTGAAAAAAATATACATTATTTTTTCTTGAAAAAACTTCCTAATTCAATTTCTACAATCACTACTAGAAAATCATGCTTTGCCTACAAAATTTGGGCATACAAAGTTAAATTTGTAGTCTAAAGTTTCTTTTCATGACGAAATAAATCACTTGTGGGGATAGTGATTTAACTATAAAATATTTTTTCCCATACAAATTATTTATGTCGCCATAAATTGCTTTCCTAGACGAGAAATTATTTTGTGGGGCTAGCCTTTTCCCTACAAACGTGCTTTACATACAAATTAAATTTGTAGTCTAATACATTTTGTCACGACAAAACATTTCATTTGTGGAGAAAGTTTTTTAACTACAAATACTTGTTTTTCATACAAAATAACTATGTCAACAGAAGCTCTTTCCGCAAACAAAATAAATGTTTTGTAGAGTTACCCTTTTCCCTACCCAAGTGATTTTCATACAAAATTAAGGCATAGAAGAAGGTTGATTTTCCCAAATAACAGTGTAATTTGTCTTGGATTGAATTTAACTTCAAAATTTCGTATGAGTATTAAAACATTTATGAGTAAAGGATATCCAGAATCCACTAAGTCATCTCTATTAAGGCCAAGGCCGAGCCTGGATTTGATTCTTGGATCATCGAGATTAGTACAAAACTGCATCTGAAACCAAACTCGACCGTTACCGAGGTTGGCGTCAATTCCAACGCTATGACCGAGTTTGAGGTCAACCAACACCCTATGAAGACCAACAAAAGCATCACTACTTCACGTTTCAAACTGAGGTTACTCACCTAGCAACTAGACACTTGGCCCAAGCTAGACCTCTTCTGCAGAGTTCGGGATCTTGTATGGAGATTGTGGTCTTAGACATTTCACCACATGGATTCTACATACACCTGGGATTACGTCACTGTACTTGAGCGACAGTTATCCAGGGCTTACTTACGTCACCTAGACAATTTTCAAAGAAGATTCCAAACTTACAAGTGTGGCTTCACAGTGCGTTCCAATACACAACATACAAAATCTGATATAGATCGTACCAATCAGCCAGCTTGGATTATTCTCTCACCAATTAGACTTTATACGTGTCACTATATTACTTGATTAGTTATATTTCTTGTTGTCCAATTATTTCATTTCACAATATAAAAATCACATTTCAACTTGTGGAAAGGGATCGTCATTTCTGCGCAAAAACTTATTGTCACACTGTCAATTTTCTTACTCAATCTATACTTAACAACTTTTCAGCTATCTCTCTCGATTTTTGCTACCCCAAGATCGGCGAAGCCATGCCGATGAACATGTTTTTTCTTTAAAATTACATTTTCATGAAGGGGTGTGCTTTTTTCATATAAGCAAAAAAAAAAAAAAAAACATTATACGTGATACGTGTTACTCCATATTCACTATAAGTTAAATGATTTTTGGTACAAACAAATTGCGACCTACGTCGAATATGATCGCAATATGATCGCAATATGTATATCGATAGCGACCACGCACTTTTTATATGGTCACAAATACTTTTTTTTTTTTTTGAAAATATGGTCACAAATACTTAAAAAACTATTTTATATTTGAGATCATGTTAAACTCTCTTCCATATTCCTTTTATTTCTAGTGGCTAAAACAGTTTATTATTGACGCTCATCTAAAATGTCCCGCGCCCACTTCGAAATCCATATGGCGGTCCTCCAAAAATAATCCGCGCTCACACTCTTTCCCCCAAGTCCCCAAGTACATTAAACCCTAGCCTCCTCCCATAGACAAACAAAAGGAGAGAGACCGTCTGCGAATTCGCGATAGAAGCCCGCAGCGTCTGCGAATTCGCGATAGAAGCCCGCAGCTTTTGCGATCGGAAGTTGGGACTGAAGGAAATAATATTTTAGCGCCGTGTATGTGGAGGATGGTCTTAGCCCTCCTACGAATTCCATATTCTGAGAAACCTGTCTGGGGAGAAAAGAAGCTTTGTAAAAGCTGAGCCTCTGTTACTGATCTCCGAGGGAAAGAAGTTATGCTCGGAAGACGAAGGAAGCCGGCTTTCTGTACATTTGTGCGTCGAGACGAAGTTTTGAAGGCGGACTTTCCAGAGATTTGGTTGCTCGATGAAGTAGGCCGTACAAATTTTTCAGGTTAATGGTAATTTTCAGTTTATTCAATTCCTTAGCTATAATGTGTGAACGATTATTCCCAAATTAACTTAATCTGTAATTTCTTGCAATAATCTACCAAAACTAATCTGAAATCGTTAGGATAGATTTCCAATAATCCGATATATATTCCCAATAATCAGAAATTTAATTTGATAAGTATTCCCAATAATCTGCCCAAAGTTAATTAACTTTAGGCAGATTTCTTTGCACGATTGTAATGCACGATAGTCACCTGATTGTAATAATGTATGCCTGGAGAGCTCAAGTTGGTCCATGTTAAAAGATTGTCCCAAGGTTTATTATTTGTTCAAATTGTGCTATGTCATATATTAGTTCGTGTCTTTTATAAAGAGTAGCGTGATATTATTCAATTTGTAGGGGTTCACGGTTGATTTTGTATTGCTAGATCACCTCCAACACGCGTGGCAATGACCTGGAGAGTTCATCAACTTATTTCATTGAAACCATACCGAGGGAATTGGACTATCAAAGTGTGTTACTAGAAACCATTCATTGTTTAGTTTCTATGCTGTTGCAAGAAGCTGATATGTTGTTTTTGACATATATTCATCATTGTAACTACATATTAGGATACTATCAATTGTGTATACGGAGTATGTGTTTTTTTAGTAAATACTTGGTCAACTGAAATATTGCAGGCAGCTAAAGAAAGAGGGAAGGAGGAATGAATTGGAGAGGCATAAACTTCTAGATATGAATCAACGCTAAAAATGGTGATTATTCCTCCCTTTCTACTTATCTTTGAATATAAAGTCATACATGACAAGGTTAATATATATTTCAGGTTCTTTGAAGAAATACAGAGACTCAATGGCTACCAAGAGGATCAAGGTTTCAATGGCTACAAAGACCCTACCTCTTGTCACGTTTAATTATTTACGGAGTACTTTTTAATGCCATGCATTAGCTGAAACATTTGAGATACAATCTGTAGCTAGTCAACGAATTGGTGTATGATGAATTGGAGGTTGATGATATGGAATTTTTTTTAATGTTACTTAGTTTGATATGAAGTTGTTAAATGTTATAATGCAGATGCTTTGCTTGAAATTTATCTTACAAAGTTGAGCATGTTCCAGATCTTTAATTGTGGAAACATTTAGTTGTGGCTTCAAAAATGTTTCCACAAATTATAGATCCTACAAATGATTTTTTGCAGCAACCAATATCTTTAGACTACAAAATAGTCTCCTAGAAAATCATTTGTGGCAAAACTAACTTTAAGCTTACAAATAGCTCTACAAAGTAGTGAAAAAGACATTCTTCCGTTCAATGAATTTCTACAAATTAAAAACATATTCATAGAGAAAAATATATTTTATCTACAAATTTTTTTCCATACAATAAATTATTGTTGAAAAAAGTATCTTGAGCCTACCAACAATGTTGAGGTAAAAGCACTTAGAAGACAAATTTTATTTGTCTAGAAAAATTTCGTATGCATAAACTTTTGTAGACAAAGTTATGAATTTTGTCGGGTTATATCTTTCGCTTCGATGATTTCCCTACAAACTTAGCCACAATTTTTTTTGTCTAGAAAACATTCTACCTACAAAATATGATATTTCCCTACAAATAATCTTTGTATGAAAACATCAAAAATGTAGTAGTGAATAGAAAGAGAATGAAGAATTGCAATTGTATAATTCCATATTTTCCACCGAAAGACGAGCGAATTGATGAAAAAAACAAAAGAAATAAAAGGAAATGAAAAGCATGCATTAGCTAGGAGGGGTAGGGTAGGGTTCATGCCTGTGAATGCTCCAACTTGTGAATTGTGATATCTGACCAACTAAGAAGCCCATTTGGTGCAGCCCAATGTATCTCTCTCCTTCCACGTGGACTTCAATCCCTCTTTCTCTTTCTTTAATTTACGTGGCCTGGCCTCTTTATTATTATTATAATAATCAATTATCTATGTAATTATGTATATAGCCCTTTCAATTAATTTACTTCCATAAATTACTTATCCATAACTTAGTGAAAGAGTAGAGAGATGAATCTGCAGGGAGGAGGAGATGGAAGAGGAAATGGAGGTTTCCATAGCTACCGAACCCGCCTCCCTCACCCAACCTCCGGTATATATTTTTTTTTATCAAACTTAGTTGTTTCTGACTTTCTGTGTTGAATAATGTTATTATACATTTATATGCTTGGTATTCTATATATATTTTTAATACAGAGAAAATACCATTTAATCTTTCTGAGTTTAGCTTCATTGCTCTATTTTCTCTCCTGCATTTCAGAACTATGTCAATTAAAGTATTAATTATAAGCTCATGATTACTCTTGACCCCTTTGGCCCTTTTGGCTTCGCCTAAATCAATAATAAGAGTAAACTTTGAATAATGAGTTTCATTAGTACTCCATATTACCTTTGTCCCTTAGTTTCTCATTTTCTTTTATTCATGCAATGTACCTAGATAAAGATTCCTTCCTCATATGGTTGATAAAGAAATTTCTATCAATTTACTCTAAAATCATTAAGTAATCAAGACATGGCAGTGTCAAACATTTCAGACAGTGTTGAACAATGTACTATACAATAAAATTCACCTTAGAGTAAAAAAAGCATTTCTGACATCGAATGAAAAAACCATTTTACTAAAATGTGTGCTATTCAAACCGGGAAGTTTAGACGAGAAGGTAGGTAGCATAATTTCATGAAAGTTGTAAATTTTATAAAATTATTATTTTAACAAACACCATTTGCCAACGTACCATTCCTATATTATAAATAGTATCTATAAAATATATTATTTGTCAAGTTTTAACTTCCTTAATTAAAAAAAATGACAAAGTTTTAATGACTAGCTAGAGTTCAGATATACAACATAATGTACTCCCAAGGGAGCTTCTATAATATATATACTCCTCCATTCCTTAAAATTTTGACATCTTTCCTTTTTGGGACGTCCCAAAAACTTTGTCACTTTCCCTTTTAATTAATTATTTTGTAGTTCTTATCATTTCTCTCTTCTCTGCACAAAAATCAACCGTACAATTTTTACTTTGTTATTTTCGTGCCGGTAAAAACATGACAAAGTTTTAAGGGATATAGGTACTACATTAAACAAGGATAATTAATAAGTCAAAGCCAATCAAGCAAATGCAACTCCAACAATAACAAAGCATCTAGCCGGCCAAAATCTTCATTTGTAGGTTACAAATATATTATTACGACATATATATAGAAAAAGTAAAACGATGATGTATGTGGAGGCGTGGAGCGTTCGGCAGACGAAATAGTATAGGGGAAGCTTCATTAATTATGTCATACGTTTCATTATTACATTGATTTATTTAATGTTGGGAGCTTAGATGTAGTGACGGACGGTTTTAGAAATAAACAGTGATAAAGAGTTGTTTTCAAACGTTAGAAATACAAGTGGCACGCATGCAATGATGGGACCCACGAGATCTCATGTCTAATCCTGCCCCACCACATGTCACTCATGCGTACTCCACCACCCACCCACTTATCTTCAAAAGAGTTTTGCTATAGGTACCCCAAAATGGGTACCCCATTTGTCCTCCACCCTATTGGGTGGCCACAAATGAGTCAACCCATTTAAGTGGTGCCCCACTTAAATGAGTTGCCTCATTTGTGGCCACCCAATAGGGTGGGGGACAAATGGGGGTACCCCATTTTGGGGGTACCAATAGTTTTTTTTTTCTTCAAAATTACTCCCTCCTGTCGTGGGATCAAAGTTGATTTTCACGTGGATTAATAAAATAAAAATTGTGTGATAGAAATTTTTGTAGAGGATAGAGAATTAACTTTAGGCACATATTACTTACTTTAAATGGAAATAGCAAATCTTTTGGGACATCCAAAAAATGTAATTTGGCCAATCTTTTCGGGATGAAGGGAGTAATTATTACTCCCCGTCTCATTCCGAGGTTCCCATGAGTAATGACACGATTATTTAGGCAAGTGATAAAAATATTAATTTGAATAAAAAAGAATGACATGTGGGCGTAGCTCAACTGGTAGCGAGGAAGTGCCACAAAAGTTAGGTCCCGGGTTCGAATTTCGGCAACTGCGATGAGAGGTTACTATGCTAGCTAAAAATGCATAGGGCCTCTACAAGTACCGGGGACGGAGGCCCACTCTCTATCTGTCAGATTATGATTATAGTCCAATTTACATCCCCCGTCGTGCCGTCTGGTCGGTGTTGGGGGCCCTCAGGGATGGGGTGTCGTCTTTTTTTTGAATAAAAAAGAATGAAAAAATAAATATATAAATTCAAAGTATTTAAAGAGATATAAGCTCGGGGAGAAGGGAATTGTTTTCTAAGATTGAGTACCCAAATAAGGATAGTGGAAACCTTTTAACGGGACGGAGTGACTAATTATTACTACCTCCGTCCTTATATTATCATTTAAAGTATATGAATACGTATTGTATAGTGCAGAATTGCACAAAAGAGAGAAAATGTGAAAGAATGTGTAAGAAATGGTGTGAGTCACACATGTTTTTTTTCAAAAAAATGTGTAAGACTATTTTGGAATGAAAGAAAAATAAAAAGTGAATGTTTATTTAAGAACGAAGGGAGCAATTGTTTTAAATTCAACTCATAAATAAGATTATACGGAGTAGATTTTATCTCCTACATAACTTTTGGTGGCTTTTTCGTCTTATACATTTGATTGTACTACCTCCGTCCCAAATTGAGTTGCAAATTTGACTTTTCTTGGTCAAACAGATTTATTGCGTTCGCTTAATTAGGATGTCAATTTTTAATTATATTCTAATTTAGAGTTTATAACTTTGAATACATTTCAATGTAGTTTATGAATATATAAATTTTAATTAATAAAAAATGAATTAATTATCAAAAATAAGGATTGACTTTTATTATTCGTTGACAAAAAAATGTTGACTTTGCAAAACAATTTGGATGGAGAGAGTATAATTAAAATTCTAAGCTATTATTCTATTAACATCATATCTGTTGGTAATAGCTTAATTGAAAGAACATTGACCAGTGAATTGTAATAATGTGAAATACGGATTACGGAGTACCTAACAGCTAGTCATTAAAATTTGATCCAATTAAAATTCCATACACTTATACCCAATATCCATGCGTGCCGTGTTTCTACTCGTTAAACCCTAAAGCCTTAAACTCTGGCATGGGAAGTGGGGAAGTATGCATTGCATTATTAATTAAAATAAATTCTGAATGCATGGTTTTAAGCATGCGTATTTAGTTGCTAAACCAGAAGTCATCGGAATACGCAGCATTAAACAATTCGTCAGATTCTAGAAAATTGTGTTTCAGAGTATGGGTATTTGAAAAAATTCATATCATTAGCGTCTTTTGGATGCTGAACCATCAAATTAATTTCCGGCAGTTCTTTCCTTTTCCTCTTCCATAATTATCCGCACCTAATTTACTGTAAACTCACAAACTAATCTTTTGCTATAAGATTAAGTTAGATGTAGTCATGTAGGCATCTACTAGTTCATCTAAATTAAACACTGATATATAGAAAAAAATACATTTCCAACAAAAAACGACTACATTTGTAAACAAACAAAATTACCAGGCCAGATTAAAAATGGATATATACATGCACAAATCATGTGACTTTTTTTACCCCGGAGTCGGGGAAGGGGATAATGAGGGCCTTCATAACAGATAAAGAATAGGCAACCAGCTGAGAGTTGGAACGCTTTCTCAACACAAATAAGAATAAGAGAAAATTTTCTAAATAAGATTAAAATAATGGTAAACTTCATATATAAATAGGACTATCATTGTTGTCATTCATTCTTATTTGGTAATAAACTTTACTTAATTTTTTCTTTTAATAGGATTAATTAAGTCAGATTTGGAGAATAAAATAAACATACATACTTGGGTGAAATGCATAAATGATACCTTAACTATTGATATTATTGTATTTTGGTACCTTAACTCTTAAAAGAATCAAAGTAATATTTTAACTATAAATATATGTTTCAATTTGCAATTTTATTCAATTTTCTGACCAAAAAAACATATGTGGCATTCTATGCCTAAAGTCCACTTCATCTTATTTTTATTCATGTGATCACTATACATTGACTTTATACATGGAATTTTGTTGGTTGTGTAAGATTTTATGCATTTTACTCTTAAAAGAATCAAAGTAGCATTTATGCATTTTCCCCAACATACTTACTCGCTTTTACACTTTCTACTCCGTATTTATTTATTTATAAATGGAGTCATGGTGTATTTTAAATATCTATTGCATGTACAGACATGAGAGCGCCAGCTGTCGAGATGAACCACGGCGGCTCCGGCAACAACTCTCTGTTTCCCGACGACGGAGAATGCACCGTCCGGGAGCAGGACCGGTTCATGCCGATCGCGAACGTGATCAGAATCATGCGCAAGATCCTCCCGCAGCACGCGAAGATATCGGACGACGCGAAGGAGACGATCCAGGAGTGCGTGTCGGAGTACATCAGCTTCATCACCGGCGAGGCCAACGAGCGGTGCCAGCGGGAGCAGCGCAAGACCATCACCGCCGAGGACGTCCTGTGGGCCATGAGCAAGCTCGGCTTCGACGACTACATCGAGCCGCTCACCCTCTACCTCCAGCGCTACCGCGACTACGACGGCGGCGAGCGCGGCTCGCTCCGGGGGGACCCGCTCCAGGTCATGAAGCGGGGCATGGTCGACTCGGCGGCCGCCGCCGGCTTCCAGCCGTTCTTGCAGCCTCCGCCGTACCCGTTGCCGGGGCACCACCATGCTTCCTACTTCGGGTTTCCGGCGCCGCCGGTGAATGGGTACCTGCACAGGGATGGTGAAGCAAATGGCGCCGCCTCTTCCCTGGCTGGCGGCGCAGCCACTGTTGAGCCGCCGCCCTGACCTCATCAGTGCATGCAAGGAGTAGCCAGCCCGTTCAAAGATGAAGGTCAAAGCCCAACTGTCTGTCAAAAACTCTAAAAACAATTAAGTAGCTGGTAATTAGGATTTTTTTTTTTTAACTCCGTCGTCTAGCTAGTCTCTGTTTTAGTTCAAAAAAATGCAAGGACAGTTGATGCATTATAGCAGCTCCCATTTCTAATTAGGACTTGAAAACTTGTTTTCCCCTGATTAAATAAATTAAGTGCGTAATTTAGATTGAGAATATTCCTTAAATTTGATTATAAAAATATACGGAGTAATGAGTACACAAACACTGGCAGTCTTGCGACTAAATGTGGAGGGTTCAAAATTACTTTATCACTAAAATATTGTACATCCTATTTAAAAAAGTATAATATGCTTAGTATGAATTATTATGGAGTACATAAGTTTCGCCTGAATTGAACACATCCACCACTCCGTACTAATGACATCATCATTATCTCAGTTTTTAAATTAGGACTATTCACTCCTAATAAGTTTATACTTTTAATTAACAAGATTAAATAAGTTCTCTTTTTGGAATAAAACATGATTACTCTTAACTATTTGTGCAGTACTCTCTATCCAAGTTTTAGACTTATTTGGATCAATTTGTTATTTAGATTATACTCAAAATAGAGAAAATTTTGGAAAGTTAATATCATCTTATTATGATTGTTATTTTGTTTTTTACCCCTTAATCGAAGCACCATTGTATTCTTGTGAGGAAATGAAACTTTTCATATCATAATTTATATGTTTATCACGGTAGTTACTTTCGTGACTTCTATTTTCTCTTCGTTTATTATTGATAATGTTATACTCCGTAATCATTTGCACCAAAATTGAAATATATTCAAAATGGTTACCTGTAACTTCTATTTTCTCTTCGTTTATTATTGATAATGTTATACTCCGTATTACGTATTTGATAATTTTCTTTGTTCAAGGTAATACCTCATTTTGATCAATTAGCTTTCTCAATCAAATCAAAAGGAAGAACAATGTTACATCAATGGTAAGCTATTAGTTTGAAAATTGCAAACAAGTGCCCAAATGAAACTATTGGAGATATCTGACTACCACATTGAATTGTTTCAATATATAAAGTTTTTTATCATCAAAACAGGCCTTTGTTCATATCAAAAGATTCAGGATCATTACATCAAGTAAAGGGAAAATAAAACTGACACCAACTGAAACTCCAACAACTACGCATGTAACCCTATGGTGAGACTTTGAGACGGTCACCCCTGAGAGTGCAACACGAATCGCTAACCATGTAGTGGGCTTGACACAGCCAAACATGTTCCCATAGATCCAACCATACCCAATGACATAAAGAGAGGCAAAAAATTCAAACAAACTGTCAAAACCAACAACAAAAGTGAACACAAGAAAATAAATAACAAACATATAAAAATTACAAGAAAAACTTTCAAAAATTTCAAGAAAAACTTTCACGAACTCTAGCACCTCGTACATCCCATGGTGGTGGTTCAGGAGGAGGTCGTACCACCGGTACCATGCTGATTGATCCTCCAAGGCCTTTGGCTGCCAAAGACCATGCATCAATCCTCCGTCCCTGCATAACCAAACTCATCCCTGCTCCGTGCGACCAAAGTAAACGGATAGGTGGCGCCGATCTTCTCCAACAACGACAGCAACGCCGCATCCTCGAACATTGACCACGACGCAGATCTCCTCGAGCCATGACAGCAAATCCGCCCCCCTCCACCAATCTCCGCCCTTCGCGTCTGACCTGGAGTCCAGCCGAGCACCAGCGACCAAGTCTCCAACGGCCGACATAGTCGAAACCCTAGAGAGAAAACTCCTATTTACACGCTTGAATAATAGGATCCAAATTAATTCCGTTGGTAATTTTCAATATATAAGGTTAATTGAGGATAACTTTAATTTTAAATCTTTCATGCTACTTTTATAATCAGTATGGGTAATTATAACTCATATATGCTTAGACCCTGAAATCTTTTGGAAATACAATTTGGATATTGTTCTATTCACTACATAACTACATAACGTGTTTACATTTGTACGATTACCTTAATACATCCAATTACACTTTTTCATTCGCTTAAAATGACATACAGAGTAACATATACATAGTGTAAACTTGCTAGCTTAGTAAACAATAACAATTTTATAAACAGAGATCATATACGATTATTCAATATGATAGAGTGATAGACCATGCAAGGCGATAGAATTACTACTAAACTGAAAACTATGTAGTAGCCTATCCTCTTAGAAAATAAGTTGCACAAAAGATGCACATGACTAATATGACAACCATAAGGCGTAGTAGATGATGAACTATTCTTTCCATGTGGCTTTGGGAAGACATGATGATTGCCGCCAGCGCCGTGTGCTCCTCCCTTGCCGCCGATGCCGCGTACTCCTCCCCTGAGGCCACCTCTAGCAACAACGAGCGATGTTGCATATGAGATTAACACCAATGCCAAAAGCATGCACCAACACAAATAACCTCCTCAGGTTGAAAAATAGTCTAATTTGCATTCTCGGTCTGGGCTGTTTTAGAGAAATCAAAGTGTTGTTTCGATATCAAACAAAATGTATGTATAAAATATCGTAGTCTGTTTAGGTTTATATATATTTTGAGGCAAATAACTATTCTCTTAACATAATTAAAATGAAATCAAAACATGTTAGAATCTATGACGGGTTAAACATATTAAGGATGCCATTAATTAATGTAACATATTTTCTTTAAATGAAAGAATGAGAAGATTTTGAGGATTTTATTTTAGAAGTTAATGATGTCATCAATATATATGGAGTTTTATGAGATGCCTCTCGTTTATCAATTCGAATGGATATGAGTATGTTTGACACAACTAGCTAAAAAGATACTTTTACGAACCTTTTAGTAACTGTTAGCTTTTAGTGACTGAAAATATCTTAAAAAGAAAAGGTGATAGCTGTTTGGTAAAAAGCTGACTGTTTGATTTAGTTCGGTTTGGTATACAAGCTGTTAGGACTAATTAATACTAAAAGTCACGAGCTTTTCTCAGATACTACACCCGGTAGTATCTCAAAAAAGATCTTTTAATTTTTTAAAAGCTTTTAAAAAATGTTTTGCCTTTTGTGTACTACACCCGGACTAATTTACAAGCTGTTAAGATCTTTTTAAAGAATAGAGAAGCTGGAAGCTAGAGCCTTTTGTGTGTGCCAAACATAGCACACAAAAGGCTTCATGTTAAAAGTGAATTCCAATAGAACTTGATTTGCACGTCCAGTCTTCCGGTGTCCACCCCAATTTTCACAAATTATACTTTTATAATGAACATTTTTTACGAGAAATACTAGTACACAAGTACATTAACATGCATTATCATCAATCTCGTATTGGGATTTTCGATAGAGATAAGAGAGGACTATTACGGACATTTAAAAAATTATTGGGCCTCATTTAAAGGTTACCACACTCTTCACAACGTTAATGGATTGATCTTTTAAATGTTATTGGACTAATTTCAACCATATTAGGCTATTCATGATGGTTGTTGGGTCATCATATAATAAAAAGAAGATAGTGATATGCGTCCCTTGAGATGGAATTTAATGATTAGATTAATTTGGACCATTTTTTTAATCGTAGATTAATTTGGACCATTTAAAAATATCAATTTTTTTTATAAAACAGTGAACTGGAACTCTTTTTCTGAGCCTCTATTAAATAGTGGCCGGCCTAAAATATACTCCGGCCTAAATAGCTATGAAACTTGGTACAAAATTTGTCTAAATCATTACACAAATGCCGATTTTTCTAACTATGAAAATACAAGTAAATAGAGGGCAAAATCCATTCCAATTGAAGCACAAGAGATATGGACAAATTTTTAGAACCCTGATGCATATCTCATCCCACCCACACGTATAAATTGAGGTCTCAGCTGAGAAAAATAGAGAGAACTTTCAGACGAAGAAATATTGCAAAAAAGCTCTGACAAACGCCCCTGAGGAAGATGACAAACAATAACTCCATCCGATTTTCAAAGTGCTCGGAAAATTAAAACAAATACCGGAAAGTGTGCCTCATCAAGATGACCTCCAAACCACCTTTGCCTCTGTATTTTACGGATTAGTTTTTTAAATGAATTTGCTAATATCACTTTTTCGTTGGATTTTCCGATGACAAGGGTAGTTGGAAACAAAAAAAGAAAGAAAGATGGTCTAACAGTCGTCTTGTTAAGGCGCATCTTCAGATATTTTTCTTTTAATTTTCTAGACACTTTTGAAATTTGGAGTTACTGTTCACCGTCTTCCTCCGACGATTTCTAATGACGTCAGAGCCCTCATGTGATAACGGAATTCAAACACATGAATTACGTTGATAAAAATGAAACACATGACCGAATCTTAAAACATGCCTAATCAAGTCCATAGATTAGAGGCTAATATAACTGTGCAGTTAAATGCACAGTTATCTTCAAGAATTAATTTGAATGCATTGACGATTGAAGTTTTAGCTGAAATTTGGTATGAGTAAACTAGACTTGATGAATAAGATGTTGAAAAACTTTCATAAAAACTTCCAATTTGAAAAACTTTCATAAAAAAATTCCAATGAAAGCCGCCCCAAATCGCGGCTGTCGGACAGAGCCTCCTATATAAGGACTTATTTGACCTTTTTATGAAAGTTCGAGGACCAGTTTTTCCTAAAAAAAAATAATGGCCATATTTCGAAATCACAAAACGTTTTTATTGTATTTGAAGAATTTTCCCAAATTTATTTTCTAGGGAATGAAAGTGCAGAAGTGCCTTCATCCCTCTGTCGTCTCTTACAATAAACAAGGTCCAATTACAAACGCCCAGACGCGCATTACATTTGAAAACCGCCATATTTAGAAAAAGTCTATGTACTTTTTGAGCTGATCTTACTCTGTAATTACAGTAGAATTTCCTCCTCTTTTCATTCCTTTGCTCGTTCACACTTTCTTCACCTTTCAGCTGATCTGGGTCTCAGTCAAGAAGCGATTAAAATCCAGTCAATTGAGGGGAGCTTGATATTTAAAGCTTTATTTCTATTCTGATCTTTATCTACTGTTTTTAAGTTTCGTGAGCAATCTCCAGTTTTTTCCCCTAACATGAATCATTCCTTCAAATTTTGACTGCTCTGCTTTTCTATTTCTATATATGTATATGCATAAGGCGGAGACTTTGAGCATACATAAGAGGGGATCTAAACTCAAAACCGAA